CATTAAAAGAAAAAGAAAACACAATGTGCAGTTGGAAGTGTAACATGCATTTATGTGTTTGTGTGCAGCGACGCTACTTTAAATGAGTCTGATTTACTATACATTAAATGGCAACCCAATTTCACGAAAGACAGAGTTAAGATGCTGTTCTTTTATCTCATGTGGATGCTATGAGAATAAACACAGGACCAAGACCTTGAGTATGGTGAGAATGAATGAATGACAGCTTATAAAACTGTCTGAGAGGCATTCCCTTTTTGCCCAGTAGGCCTACCCTGTGTTTTATTTGCTAATTAAAGCATTTTTAAAAAAGATAAATATAATGCATAAAACTATACATTATTTATATTACTTAATAATGCCTATAGATCTGATAAGCTTTTTATATTAATGGACCATGCACAGATATTGATGTTTCACAATGTTTTACATCATTTGATTCTACCAAGCTTAGCTCACAATGTTTGCAATGTTTACATTGCTCTACTGACATCAAATCTAAATCCTAAATACCAGAAATGACAACAGATTCTTTAGATTTAATTAATGTCAGTCTTAATGTTATTGATTAATGCACTTACTTGACAAACTGCATTCATTTATTTTCCTTCTGCTTATTCCCTGGTTTACCAACGGAATGAACAGCCACCTATTTGACAGATTTATATATTTTACATTTCAGGTGGTGTGTGTAATGTGTTTTATGTTTGGTTAAATAACTTCTAATGGTAAATTTTCCAATTGGTGGATTTAGAGGGTTTTGCATAAAAAGGAGACATGGATTTAGCTGGTTTTGAAGCAAAAGAAAACTTACCTAAAAAACAAGCAATTGTCTAAAGTGACATTTTGGAAAAAAGGTATTTTATTTGCTAGCTAAAAACCTTTTCATTACATATAAAATGAAACTTCTGAACCTAATCAGAGGAGCCTGATAGAAAATGCTCATTTACAAGAAAAGAGGTCTGTGGATTTACAGGTTTGTGCATCTGAACTCTTCATATACTGTATAAATACACTTGTCTTTCTGCTTCCTGTGTAGCATAAATAAATAATCCACCAGGGGGCAGAAGACAATGGAAGTTATAAAATCAAAAATGCAATATGCTAACGTTGTAGAATCCTTTAGCAAGCTATAACACTACAATATGGTAGAACTAGCATGCTAACATTATAAATACATATATAGTTTTAATTGGCAGAACCAAATGAACACAGCCCAACCTAAAAAAAACAAAGCAAAACAAAAAGGCGCTTATAGAGTATTAATATGCTGACTCACATTAACATAAGTCCAACTTTAAAATAAAAAAAAAATAGAAAAAACGCGTTGTGTGACTTCTGCTTTCTGTTTCAGCACTGCCTCAAGAATCTTTCAATGCACAAATACCTTTTAAGCATACAGTAACTACAGCTTTAAAATGAGTTTCAAATTGAGGTCACGTGAACCTGAAAATCTTCCTTTTAATGCCGATTAATGCTGATTTCGTCCCGACAAAGAAAGTCCACATTTGCTGAGTGTATACTTCTGCACGTGTATAGTATGAAGAGCGTTGGCATGTGCACTAATCCAAACACAAAAGCTTCACGACAAAAAAAATAGCACCGGCTAATCTCCTGGTTCTCCATCTCTGTAGCTCTTTTAAACTGTCTCTCGCTCTCTCTGTTCTCTCTTATCTAATCTCTCCTTTTCTTCTCCTCTGATTGTGCGCTCCTCTCGCTGTTGTGTCGCCGTGAATGGGGCCGAATATTAAAACGGGATTTGATGAGCTCCGTGTATCTTTTTGCCCTCTGCATTCACTTTCATTTGCTTTTTTTTTTTTACACACTCAAGGTTTGACTGTATGGAGTCTCTCACTTCATTCGTAGTTGGTTTGCTTTTCAAATCATATTCTGTAGATTCGGTGGCCGAGGTGAAGAAAGGAAGAGTTTAAGAGGGATGAAAAGGTAGAGATTATTGGAGAGGGGCTGCTTTTAAGCTGTCTGTCGGCTTGTTGTTCTGCTCTCTGCGTCACAGCACTTCCCCGCAACAAGAGGAAAGTCAAGTCTTTCAGTCAGAAATGAGAAATTCACTAAAATCCACAGGATCCTGAAGAGTGTGGAGGATATTCAGTGCAGTGATGGAGCTACAAGTCAGCCAAATTAACAATTCTTTTAAAAAGAACATTGTAATATTTTAAAATATATATCATTTTCCAGTAGATAAAGTGTTGTTTACATAACCACTTTCCGCTAAAAATGAAAATCATTCATTTTTATGATATCAGTATTTTGGGGGCTTTGAAAATGCTAACGTTCAACCCATGCTCGGTGGAAATATGTCTCCTACATTTTTGCCAAACAATTCAAGCTATTATGATGATCTGTTTTTGTTTAATGGCATGTCAGTAGTCCTGACCAAGAGCAACTAATGATATATTGTAGCATTTTTTTTTTTGCCCGTTTTTGGCTCTTTTTCACACTACAATGATTGCTTTGGTTCGAACCAGTTGGAAAAAAAAAGAAAAGTAAATGCAGTCATGTGACAAAATCCACATCACTCAATGGCCAGATGTAATTGAATGTTTTTCCTAAGCTGCTTTTTTATTGGTCAGAATTAATTTGCAGAAAAATGCCAATGTAACTCCTGCAAGAAAACAAACTGTCAGACAATTTTTGTGACAACTTTTACTATGGAGGGACGACTGCGCTGGCTGATTGTATCCCTTGTCATTGTATACTATATAGTTTGTTTACATCACTTTAGACGAAGTATACATTTCAAGAATGAAGCTGCAACTAGAAAACAATGTTTTAATGCAGGGGCTCCCAAACTTTTCAGTCGCGATCCCCAAAGTGACAATGCCAGTTACTTGCGACCCCCAATATCCTCGGAGGTGGTTATAATTACATAAACCTTACATGCAATGGCGCGCACATACCAATCGACCAAAGTCTATTCTTTGTTTTATTTTTGTATGTATGTCAGTGCTGTAAACAAGCCAGACAGTTTAACCTGGTGTTATAAAATCAATCTGCTGCATCTGATGCTATTGCTGTGTCTTTAATATAATGTAATTACCTGAGAAGAAGCAATCCAATAGAACTAGTAACTATAAGCTATTATAGTAACTATATAGTAGTATATAGTAACCATTTTTTCTCTTCAGTAGGTTATGGATAAAATACGGTCTTTCTTTTGGTTTAATAAAAATAAATAGATTTTTGGAAACCACCAGGCGACCCCCCTTCATTGTCCTGCGACCCCTCGGGGGGTCCCGACCCCCACTTTGAGAACCATTGTTTTAATGCATTGCAAATGGCAAAGGCGCATTGCAAGTCACTTCAATTGAGCTAAACGGCCACATGGTCATCTTCTGGAAATATTACCAACAATCCATCAGGTAATGTTTTTTCCCTCTCTCTTTCTCTCTCTCTCTCTCTGTTTAAAACCATTGGTAAAGCGCTGTCAACAAATATTTTTTCCTCCACATCCCATAATGCACAGCGCATTGGACTACAACAGCTGGATTAGTTCACAAAGGTGCAGTACTTTTTGCGGTTGGGTCTGTTCTAGTTTGGATCCTGTTCTCACCACAAACGAACTGCTCCAGGGTTCGTCTGAAAGCGAACCTCTTAAGGGAGGTCTCAGTGTGCTTTTTTGGTCTGCTTTTGATGCGCACTTGAGTGCGATTGCTACATTCACATCTGCCCAAACGAACCACAGCAGAATGAACCACCATAAATACTTTATATAATTTATAAACTAAAAGAACATATTTTTATTCATTAATCCATTATTCATTTTCTTGTTGTCTTAGTCCATTAATTAATCTAGGGTCGCCACAGCGGAATGAACCGCCAATTTATCTACCATATGTTTTGTGTAGAGGATGCCTTTCCAGCTGCAACCTAACACTGGAAAACATCCATACACACTCATTCACACACATACATGGCCAATTTAGCTTACCCAATTCACCTATAGAGCATGTCTTTAGACTTGTGGGGGAAACTGGAGCACCTGGAGGAAACCCACGTGAAAACGAAAAGAACATGCAAACTTTACACAGAAATGCCAACTGACCCAACCGAGACTCGAACCAGCAATCTTCGTGCTACCTGCTGCGCCACTGTGATGGCCAAAATATTTTTAAATGTATATAAAAATAATAATAACTCTAATACTAATAACAATGTTACAATTTTCTCATAAATGTATAACAATGTAATATAATGTTAAATTCAATACACAGTGTTTTCACTCATTTTTAACACGGATACATTTGTATGAAAACGTGCTCAGGGATGCATTTTTGATAACCAAGAAATATGTGCTTCTGGGTATATTTGCCTGCATTTTGTGTGTAAAATAAATGCTATAGTCTGCTTGGTAGCTCACTGTAAACGCTGCTAGATTTGTGAGGTGGAATTAAGCAGACAGGGGCTTTGAGTATGGCAAAGCTCTGGTTCTTGAAACCAGAAAAAAACAAAACCCCAAAAATGCAGTGTGATGTCATGGTAGAAGCACACATGTTTCTGATGGCTTTTCTCTTCTAGTTTGCTTTTGAAAACCCTCTCGGTTGGGTTTAGGGAAGAGGTTGTGTGGGTCAGTTGATATCGAGCTTGCATGGCAAAAAGCCAACTGACTTTTTTCATGGATGCTTACAAGAAGGACGTTAATCCAGAAAATGTACACAGAGACCTTTGATGGATTTACAAGAGAAATGGCACGTATGAGAAAACATGGCCCCATAACATATTTGAGATTGTCAAAAATGTACATGGCGTCTTCTAGTGAATTTGTGAAAACAAAATGTGCAAGACGACGTTTCCAGGGTATAAATTTCTTGGTTCTCAAAAATGTAGCCCTGGGCACATATCTCTAATGAGCCTGGGTTGCTTGCATATTTTCCAAGAGGATTACAGAAATCCAATGCATTAAATGGATCCTGTAATACATTTTAATCATGCATCAAGGCAGTTTTTGTACAGTTTGCTAATTTTTAAAAAAGTCCACTTACTTCCTTCGATGGCGGTGTCGTCCAGCAGGGCTGGTGGTGGATCTGGAGCGCTGGCCTTCACTCTCTCTCTTTCTTTATCTCTCTCTCTGTCCTTCTCTCGCTCTCGGTTGTGGTGGGAGTTGTCCTGTTGTCGTCTCTGCTGTTTGTTCTTCTGAGCCTCCAATGCCTTCAGCTTGCGAGCATGTTTATGGCCTTTATAATGAGCCTCGGCCTGATTCTAAAGAACGACAGGTGGAAACAGAGCGAGTGAAAGATCTGCAAAACTATATGAAGCTTCACAATTCACAAGACACCACTATTCTAGTGTTTCACCGAACAGATGTCCAGCAGGTTTCTGTTTTATGTGTCTACTTGGGAATTTACTAACTACAACACATAGATATATATACACTAGATATCGCATACAGACCCTGAGTATGGGTTAATACTGCCGCCACATTTGTACAGTGCTCCCAGGACAAAAGTCATTCAACCAACCTAGACAAGACCAAGTCAATGTGAAGATGCTGGACTTTAGTGCTGTGTACAGGTGTAGTAACAAGCAAACAAAGAAAACAAAGCACATAGGCCTAACATTTCATAGGTAAGATTTAGTTTTTTATGATTTTGTATGTTACGAACTTTTATGCTAACATACTGATGATAATACAGTCACCTACTGCACTGACCATATGGCAAAGTAGCACCAACTCACACTAAACTCTAGACTTCTGCTAGTTTTGTTGAATAAAACAAACAATGTAAATGAAATGACAACAAGATGCTGCGTTGCCTTGTATTATTGTCGGCTAAGTTAACGAGTCGTTCATAACGAAGATTCTTTCACAAATGAATCGCTTCTTACATTACATTTAGAAGTGAAAGCAGGAGAGGGGCTGTGTTTCAGGACACGGATTAGATTAAATTTAACAGGGGAGGAGGATAATACATCTCCATGCACACAAACACATGCTCTTTGTTAGGAATGCCTATGCGCTCACTTATGCATCAGTGTAGAAATCAGATGTAAAATTATAACTTTCGTAATAAAAAATATATATTTGCACACTGACCACCACAAAAACTCCCGATCATAGATATGTGTATATATGTGGGTATATTTATGGATCTGGATGGCCAGTCCTCCACATTCATTTCAAAGGAGCGCTACCCTGTACTAAAATTGTGGCTCTATTGACGCATTCCTTCCATTAGACAACAATAGCGTAGACGCCATCTAATGTAAATATCTATGACTACAACATTATGTATTTTTGAGTGATAACAATGAGTGATGTATTTATTTGAAAACATTTTTAAAATAAAATAGAAAGTTTCCTCTATTTTGGCCACTCATTAACAACACAAACACATTTTTTTCAGGGTCCAAAAAAGCTAACTTTTGTAAACATGTTACAATGTGCAGATTTTTGAAGATGATAACTTTATTAGCTCTGTGTACATTGCATAAGTAATGATATCTCCTAAATATTCCTAAAACTAAGTAGATGGTTATCGATTTTAGAGAGGGAGAGCACAAAGCAAAACTCATCTTATGTTAATTAATGTGGAAGCAAATTAAGTTAGTAACAAATTATAAATATTTGGGTGTGTTGTTGGACAACAAAACAAAGCTGAATGAACAGACAAAACCAAAAAACTACTTATTCACAAAATAACACACTGAACATATGCATATACTGTGTGTTTAAATGTTACATGCACGCACATACGCACGCACGCACGAACGCACACACACAGAATAGACAGTCTGTGTGAGAATGATAAGAGTGAATGCCCAGCAGAGGGCCTGAATTACAATCGCAGGTGTCAGACCAAACACACTTTATAATTACACTATTGATCAAAGTAGTCTGTGAGCGAGAGATAGTGATTGGCACTGTTATGTATTCAGACACACATATTGGCTAGTATATTATTTCGACACCACTTTAACACTTTTTTTCATTGAAATATCCAAAACCACTCTACGCTATTATTTATTTTGCTGAATTATATACTTACGTTATCACATTATTAAAAGTTTTGAAGAATGTTCAAATCAATTGTGGACTGTGGCATAATAAAAGCTGTTGCATTCATGCGGTTGTCACTCATCAGCAATTGCTTCGTCTCATTTTGTTTAATGGCTTTCAGTGTTATTCTGCTTCATACTACCATGATAATAAGACCCAGGATTGGGTTTTAAAAGAGTTTTACCAGGCAGCAAGAATGCTAAATTACCTTATATGTGATAACACTTGGTGGCGGCATGGTGGCTCAGTGGTTAGCACTGTTGCCTCACAGCAAAAAAGGTTGCTGCTTCGAGTCTTGGTTGGGCCAGTTGGCATTTCTGTGTGGAGTTAGGGTTATGGTTAGTCTCCATCACAGTCCAAAGACATGCGCTATAGGTGAATTGGATGAACTAAATTGGCTGTAGTGTATGCATGTGTGCTTGAACGTGAGAGGGTATGGGTGTTTTCCAGTACTGGGTTGTGGCTGGAAGGACCGAAGCAAAATTATTGAGTGAATGAGATCACACTTTGTGAGTAGTGTTACTTTCGTAAACAAAAACTATGAATAAATAAAATCTGTCAACGAACCTTTATCACGTGACGAAAATGAGAGGAGACGTGACAAAAATGCTGGTCATGATGACTATAACTAAATGTATACTGCAATAATGCAATAACTGTGGTTTACAAAACAAAAACTATGCTAAAGTTTCTCTTCATTTTCGTTGACTAAAACGATAGGAAATTTAACTTTATAACGCTATTTTGTTTTGTTTAGTCACAATATTATTATTATTATTTTAGAATAAGCTCAAACTGTGCAGACACAGGCAACATCACTTCCTCTAACCGCACTCATTATATATGATTTTATTTTATTTAGAATTATTTACAGATTATTTCGAAGATGACAACAAACACACACATGCTAAGAAAGCTCGATGAGAGAAAATGAATTGACACTTGGAAAAACTTTCATTACAATCAGGTAGAAAAGAAAACGTACTAAAACGAAACTTTTCGGCGACCAGAAATGTCTTCGTCAGTTTTTGTTGATTAAAACTAAACGAAAATAGTCATGAATGATTCTGACTAACATAAGACTGAAATGCTCAGACTTTTAGTCGACTAAAACCTGACTAGACTGAAGAGTATGAACGTGACTAAAATGAATAAAAACAAAACTGTTAGCCTCTCAAAAAGACTAAACTAAAACTAAAGGTGTAGTAGGTGATTGCCTTCAGAAACATTTTTTGTTGTGCTGGTTGAAAGTCTCTTAACATGTCAATAGTAATGATTAAAGTAAAGGATCTAAACTCTTTTAGTCACGCAAAGCTTATGTAGATTGTGTTGTTTTACGAATGGGCTATATGCATAGAAGTGTTGTTCAGCCACTGAAATCTTCCTGCGAAAGACTGATGTGAATATTTTCAGTTTCATAAGGGGCCTTTTACAGCATCGATAATGTAGATTTTTATTTAGTTTAACAACAAAACATCAGTAAACAGCGCTATTCCACCTAGCCTAACTACATAACTGAAAACGTGCTAGATATAATGCAGTTTTTCGTTCGCAATTGTAGTATTATAAAGACTATAAAGATTTCTAACTGGCAAATGACATGATCTAGTGGGTCTGTATCATCTTTAATGCGCTCGTTCAAGATTTCAGGAGGCGTGGCTTTGAACGATAGGGTAGGCATTGTATTTAAAAGATACCATGCTAACCGATTAGCATTTAGCAGATAACCTACTGCCACCAAGGCCACCAAAAACAACACAACGGAGCGTTTCGAAAACGCTGGAGAGGCCGTTTTCATTCTGAAACGCAGCTGCTCCGTCTCAGTGTGGATGATGGAAAACGGAGACATTTGAAAACGGAGGCGGGGCTGCAGACATTCGCCTCTCTGATTGGGGCTTTTCCTGAATATTAAGTAGCCTAACACGCACAGTTCAGTCCTGCATCTTCTCCGTGTAAGTTAAAACTTCGCAAGTTTGATCATGGCTGCAGTCTCTTCTTCTCAGTTTGATATGGAAAACAGACTATACCGAGGACACGGGTAAATCTTCAAAGGCAACAGTGTACTTTATAACTTCATTCACATCACCCTGGCTACGTTGTTTTACTTTCTCAACAATAAAATGTAAACATGATATAAGGAACTGCCTATTTTCATTTTAATATTAACAACTAAACAGACAGCAGAAATGTTGAGGCGTCGTGCTGCAAATATGAGCGTCATCTTCACTGTGTGCATATTTATAACAAAACGGAGCCTACAACAACTGCCTCCTTTCAATTTCAGTGAAAATACGAAACACACCCTCTCTTTGCTGAATATCAGTTTTAATCGATAATGGCCATTATAAAAGTATAACATACAATAAGTTTATACATTATAGGAAATAAAGGCAAGCGATCAGTCAATATACAGAATGTACGTGCTTACATTAATCATTAACTTATCTTTGCGCTTAGCCAAAACACGTTACCTGAGAACAAGTAATAGATTCCAATGTCCAATGAATATGTCGTTAAATAAAGACAACAAGATGAAAGAAATATTCCGTTTAATAAATATAGTGAGGTTAGATCCAGCGGGAGATGCTTGATGAGAAGTCCGACTAGCACAGCTCTCATCTGGGTAGATTGGCTACAGCGCTTGCCTGAGTGTGTGTGTGTGGTCACGTGATGTGCGTTTTCAGCGTTTTGGTGTGGACGGAGAGCTGTTCAGAAACGCTGGGTGAAACGCGAGTGTGGACGCGGATCGTTTTCATTCTAAAACGCCGTTTTAAAACTAAAACGCACTAGTGTAAACGGGGCCTTAATGGTAATGGGGCGTGGTTAAGAATATATTGTGGCTGAAGCAGTCAAACTGACATTATTAGGGAAGGACCGCCACTCCAAACACTGAAGCAAATGATTAGACTTTGGTTTACATGTTTGGTTAAAGGTTACCTATAGAAACGCTTAGTTTCAGTGGATTAACAGCACCAATTAATTGTTCACCTAAAGAACATCTATGTGCACTAGCAAAATAAACATGGTAAACATGATTTCACACAAACTTTATTCTAAAAACATGAGCATTTTTAAACATTAGCAATGTTCTAGAGCCACAATACAGATTTCTGCTGAAATATTTGGAAATAATTCAGCATGTAATTAAACCGATCGTAAGCTGTTGACACGCTGAGCTGAGAGCCCTTATTGCGCGCTTTAA